GACGTATAAGTAAAACTGGAGGCAGTGAAGAATGGATAAACATGCACTACAATCCCGATTAGAAAAATATTTAGCCTCTGCAAATGGTAGGGAAGAGGAATAAATAAAACTTCACTGGCGCTTTATACAAAGCCGAAAAAGCTCTGAGAATGCAAACCCACAGCATATGATATTGCAACATTGTCTTGTAACCTTAATAGAGAAACCCACAGTAACCCCTGCTAGGAGCGTTAAATATTAATAATGGCTCCCAGCTGCTCCTGCTACATAATGGGCTTATTTTGATGAGAAAGATGTGCACAGCTTAAGGAACGTTCATGATTCTACTTTCCTTTTGAAATTCATGCAAGACCCTCTCTCTTTGCTGCAATTAATTGAAGAACCCAGGGCTATTATTCTTAAAAGGCAAGATTTGTCTCTGATCTTTGTCCTACATTACATCTTCTTTTTTGTCAGAGGTTGCAACATGAGCAGAGGTGGATGGTTTAGCTCGATGCACGGCTCATTACCAGAGGGTAGCCTTCTTTTTCCCTGTTCTATCCTAATTAGTGCAAATCTGCCCACACATATAGCCCACAAGGATAGCTTTTTTATTGTTCCTGAAATTAAAACATCCCTGTTCTACATCAGTACAACTATTATAAATGGTAATGTCCCTGGCGTGCATCATCATAAACATCAAAGTTAGGAAATGCTGGCTGTTACATTTAATCCTTTACTAAGCAAGTTTGAGTTTCTTTACTGGCAAAGTAGGTGATGAATAGCTGTGACCATTAACAGAACGATTATTTGGCCAGAAGGCATTCTCTTCTCTACTTACTTTGTCACTAAATCATATGCTCACCTTAACCAGACTGACTTGGTACTGATCTCTATTTTAGAAGATTGCTGACTGTAATCTGTTGACTGTATAATATCTAAAATAAATCAAGATCACAGTGCACTTACTGATCTAGATATGAATGATTTTCAATGATAAAATGGCAGCTAGATATCCAATACTAACTAGAAGTAGTCCAGACTCAAATACTGTTGGTTATTTAGAAGATTTATCATGCAACATTACTGAGAGGAAAGGTCTCATCCTCAGAACAAGTTCAGAAAGACAGAAGAGGCAGTGACAGTTCCTGAACTGAACAATTAATTTGAATTACCTTTAACCACTGCTGCATGAGTAAATATGACAATATTAGCTCCCATGCATCATTTCTGTCATTATCCAATTCCTGTACAATGATTCTATGTAAGAATGTAAAACTAGTATTATCTAGGTCTGAACACGTCCCCAAGGAAAAAAAAATGCAGAGGGGACTTTATCTTCTTCAGATTCAGCTCTAAGGAACTCTTGGGTCAGGCAAGCACTCCATAAAGCTTAGTTGAGTTTTATGAGATTAAAGCTTTCATTTCTAAAAGTATATTTCTAGCTACTATAGCTGCAGCAATAACCTCCCAAAGGCGAAGTGAGTAACAGATGCTACAACGTCTGCAGCCACCCTTGGGACAATGACTCAGAGGAGTGAACTCCTCTGTCCCATGTGAGTCTGATGAGCGTCAAGTCCAACCCCCAGTTACATGACTTCAATGCTTGCATTACTGATTTTAAAGCAAGAAACAGGTTTGGGCAAGTACAGCTCCTTGAAACTGGAAGCTACTGTGGGGAAAGAGGTCATAGATGCAGTAATAAGGAAACAGCAAAGACAGAAAAGAACAAGAAGAAAGGAAGGGGAGTCAGTAGTGCCAAGTGACTCCCTGAATGAGAAGGTCATTATCAGCCATTAAACCAATGAACTCAAACTAATTGCCATGTAGCCCCTGTGCATATCAGGAAATCCCCACATATGACAATAAGCTGCTGATTCAGAGATCAGGAGGGGGAATATTGCTCTGGGGAACTGAGAATCCCAGTTATAGAAGGGACTGTTTCTAATGTGGCAAGTTAGATGTTGTGATATTGAATGCTCACACCTTGAGGGGCAGGTAAGCACTGCAAGTCCTTCCCTCCTGGGGGCTGCCAGAGGAGCTTGTTCACAGTTTAGAGTCAGTGACAGAGCAGCCCACCCAGCTGGCAGTGCTGGCACAATGCCAGTCTGCACCACACCAGCTCCAGCCCTTTTTAGTGGGACACTGTGAAGCAATTGAGCTCCAGCTTCTACCAAGATCAGACAGGGGGCTGACAACTCACAGCTCAGGGCCAATACACTGCAGGGAAGCTACTATTTCACAGACCAATCCATGGAGATATTTCAGTAGCCCAGACACCATGTTTTAAACGGTAACACAATTTTCTTCCTTAAAAATGAAGTGTCATTAGCCAGTCACTTTTAGTTTCTTCTGCAATTCATTTTGAATGCATATTAAAGATACAGGTAAAAGATGGGTTACCTAATTTAAGTTCTGGCTCAAATTTCTAACTTAATGTTTGGTTTAGAAGGTATTCATTTCATGTAGAAAAAAGGCAGACAGCTAATCAGATCAAGTATCTTGGCAACATCCAAGGATCCAAATGTTTCTCTGGCTATAATATGGATTTTGAGATAATAAACAAGCATCTCCACAATTAGCTGATGCAAGGAAAAGACAGTCCAGCAACTCCAGAAGAAAAAAACCCTCATATATCCTTGAAGAGGTTTATTACTAAAATAAATCTTTCAACATTAAAATATCCATGGTATCTTTATACTAATGCAAGAGGTGCTTCTGCTGTTCTCGGAGTTGTGACAGCTGATTTAAAGTGTATTGGACACACTTGGCATATAAATAGAGTTTAATATAACATTAGAGGGAATAATACTGTCTAATATTAGTGCACCTTTCAAGCACATTTTCAAACTAATTGATATTGCATGTTCAACTCATTGTATCACTAATGTTACACAACATTTCCATTTTATTGAACTGCAGCTCACCTTTACTAAAAGCCACTTTAGCTGAAGTAACTCCTCTGAGTTATTCCAGCTCTAGGCAGGCATCCAGATGTTTGCAACTTCCATTAATCAGCCGTAAGGCTGAAGCTGATCCATGGCTCCACACTGCACACACAGTAGACATTTTTAATAATGCTGACCCACAGCTCAGCTCTTTTGCTCGGTGGGTCATGTCTGAACTGCTGATCCAGTTCAGCAGATCAAGTTGTTTCACAAGGAATTGAAAGCACTGAGGTGTCACAGTTGGGTGCTCTCCTTCTATGGTTGATATAAACTCAACTGCACATCCCTAGGGGAGCCTCCAGCTTCCCAAATGTACTGTAGACTGCATAAAAATCAAAGTGAACCTTTTCTTGCCATCAGTTTATAGAGTCTCTTGTACTTCCCTGATCTGTCTATGCTTTGCTTACAGTTCCTCTGTTCATGATTGTCACATTGGCTTCTCATGTGATAATGGGGGGCTGATGTGTCATTCCTTATCAGCAACTCGTGCATCTTGCAGGGCAGCTTTTGTATTTTCCTAATTTATGCCTGGAAACTTGTGGCCAGAGTAGCAACGTTTGTGAGATCTGCCTGGATTTTTGCACTGTATTTCTTACAGAGACTCCATGAGTCACCCACTGAACATAATCTAAAAAACCCACAACTAGATATTATGTCAATTGAAGCATTTTATTTTTGGAAACACTTATGTGAATACATACTGTTCTGAGGAATGCTGAGGTTATGACATGCATGTTTTTTTGCTTAGGCTTAAGAGAGAGGTCTATCCTTCTAGGACTTCCCAGAAAAAAAAAATAAAATTACACCACAGGAGGTGTTCTGTCCGCACACTTTCCAGAATCCCAGCCTGGCTGAGTTTGGAAGTGACCTTTGAGGGGCATCTTGTCCAATAGCCCCAAACACAGGCACCTAGAGCAGGTTCCTTTGGACACTTCTTGGTATTTTGGTACATATCGTGCCTGTACAGGATGCACAAATATGCATCACCTCTATGTAACACAGAGTTTTTGTTAGAAAGCTCCAGTTCAGGAATAATGGATCAGTTTTCCAAGAAAACTTACACAGGTTTCTTGGTGGGAAGTACCCACTCAAAACACTGTCATTACATTAATTTTAATATAAAATGGTATTCCAACACCTGAAGGGACCTTTCAGGAAAGATGGGGCAAGATCACGTAGTGACAGGACAAGGGGGATGGGTTCAAATTGAAAGAGAGTAGGTTTAGATTAGATATTAGGGAAAAAATTCTTTACTGTAGTGGTGGGTGAGGCACAGGCGGGTGGAGGGTGGGGAGGCACTGGAACAGGTTGCCCAGGGAAGTTGTGGATGCCCCATCCCTGGCGCTGTTCAAGGCCAGGTAGAACGGGGCTCTGAGCAACCTGGGCTAGTTGAAGGTGTCCCTGCCCAGGGCAGGGGCGTTGGAACAAAGCGATTTTCAAAGTCCCCTTCCCACTCAAACCATTCTGGTACAATTACACTTTGATGTTTGCGCACTTATGCCCGCAGCCACTCCTTTTTACTCTCTCTTCTCATCTCAGACTCAATGACAGAAACCGCATTACTGAGACTCCAGCGGGCTGGAGTCTCCACAGCGAAAGAGGAAGCGGAGGGCAAAGAGGAACAATGAGCGCCTCTGGAGGGTTTCTGCAAAGTGACGCAGACTCCCCAAACC